CAGTCGAAGCTGCCGGTTTCTAAACTCTGGCTGGTGTTGTCGTATTCTGGACGCACACTGAAGTGGAGCTGACTTCCTCGCTCGCCCAAGCTCGAGTAGAACCGCCACCTTCCTCCGTTACTTCCTGTTTAGTCAGCAGGGGCGGAGCTTCTGCGTCTGTCGTCTGTTCGTCAACAACAGGAATAAGATCTGCTGGAGAGAGAGAAAGAGAAATATCTTACCTTTCTTACATTTTCAGTATTCAGATAAAGAGCAGGTGTAGTGCGTACCTCTTGTCACATTAGTCTCAGAGACTCATCATGAATCATAAAAAAAAAACGTCCTTTAAAGCCTCGCTCACACTGTGAGATTTTCCCCCGATCGTATCAAAGTCGTGGTGGCACGTCAGCTCACACTGTACGACCTGATTGTCGGACACGTCCAGAGAGCTCACACTGTACGAGTGAAATTAGGACGGAGCGTTGACAGTTGTTAATAAAGTTTCATTTGAAAACCCCAACGGACGACGGCCGGTGAAAGAGAAGGAAGTGGAAGTTGTTGTAGGATTTAGGAAAGTTGATACAATCGTAGATATATGGAGACAAGTTTCAGAAAAGTGCTGCGCTGATGATCTGTACTGGAAAGTAAAAAAATAAAAGAAACGCCGTGTTGCGTCCTGCCGCTGGTCGCCATGACTACAGTCCTCCCTTGTCTCTCATGATTATATTGTAGTCACACACAACTTCTGCCGGACCCTTTCATGATCGTCAAGATTTTAAATTCTAAATATAAAACATGTTTGAAATAAATCGGGGCGTCCCCGACGATCGCCGGGCAGATCGGGGACGTTAAGATTGGATCTTTGGACCACTCACACTACGAGATAATCTGAACAGAGAATCGGGTCCGAGCAGCCTCGAGTCGGGAGAGACCCTGAGACTGTCAGGAAGGAAGAATCAGAGCTCAACAACAGGGCCCTGGTAGTGCTGGGCGATATATCATGAAGCTCGATTCCATCGATATTTAATTAATGCTTGATATGGAAAAGGGAACATCCATTTTATTTTTTAAACCACTTCAAAGTTTTCTCGCGATATTTCGTTGCTCCGAGAGATTTCCGCGGCAGCGCTTGTTGCTCGGAGACGAAAGGGCGGAGGAGACTTCACTCCTGCTGCTGAGGAGCCTCGCTCTTATAAGCGACCAACACGGAGGAGAAAGAGAAAGATGCGAGCGAGGCCGAATTACTTCCAAAAAAAGGTTCATAACGCAGAGCTCAACATCACAAGTGTCCCACTGACCCGGATGAAGGATTGACAGTCCAGCTGATTGCAGGTTCAGCTGGAGGCTTCACTGCTGTCACTTCACTCGCTACACTCGAGTTGTTCACACTCAGATCTGAGAGCAGGTTTTCTCTGATAAAACACACGTTTGGTAAAACGGTTTTAAAACCATCAGATCCCGACAAAAGCCGAGTTTAAATCAGAATTTAAAGAGAAACAAATCACCAGAAGAGTGGAGAGTGACAGCAGGACAAAAACAGAGAAAAGTTTGATCCACAGTGACAGACAGCTGGAGGAGCTGGAACACGTTAAAGTTAAGACTAGATCCTGCTAAAGATAAAAGTTATTCACAAACATGTTAGTCCTTAAGAGAGCTCCTAAAGTAAAGATGTAAGGATGAAGAGTTTCTCACAGAGAAGAAAGAAGGAGAGATTCCAGATCTATCACAGCCTCATATTAATATCACATTAAGTAGACTCTTACAGCATGGTGAATAAACATGAGCACATAAATATAAGAAAAATACACAATATGTTTATAATTAGAGCTCAATTAATTTAATAAAAGTTGTAATTAAATCTTGCATCAGAATGGTTCAAGAGTAAATTGGTGACTTTTATTTTTAGAATCTAAAGTAATGTTCCTGGATCAGTGATATTTTTTTTTATACAGTGGAGATTCACTTTTATAGGCTACATTTATAAACTTTAATACGATAAATATCGAGTCATATCGACATTAGGCAAAAAAAATGTGATATCAAATTTAGGCCATATCGCCCAGCCCTAGGTCCTGGGTCTTGTAGTTTTTTGCTGATGGCTAGTTGTAGTTTAAACCAATAATAATAGAAAAAGCAGTTATCAATCTAGACGTGAAAATGAAAGATCATGTCTACATGTGGTTGTCGGTGTCCATCACTCAAACTGTACTCACTGTCCTGAGCAGAGCAGCCCCAGGTCTCATCGTCGTCCTCCACTTTGATGACCGCGGTCGTCGGTTTGGCCGTCTCACCTGCAGCCGGCTGTAACGGAGCGCACAGAGAGCGAACACGATAAGAGCGAGGATGGTAATAAGGTCAGGAACTAGGACGGGAGAGGAGAGCGTCTCGTACTCACCGTCCCCTGTGTGGCGCCCCGTCCGGAGGATGGATCGATGTCTTCACACCGCAGTGTCTGAGCAGGTGCTCTGCACAGCACCAGCTCACCTGGAGGACGTGATAACACCTTTAAAGATCACGCACCTTCAGACGCACTGAGGTCACTATTTCATGAACAACGGATTCGTTTATACTTTAACACGACACAAAATGCTGCAAGTCCTCCTATTTAAGAAGCTTTAACCAGATACGAGGGATACATCGGTTCAACATCTGTATCGGCCGATAGCGAGCGAGTGACAGCGACTAAATCAGCTTGATTCTATTTTCCATTGTATTGGAGTGTCCTAACTGCCTACAGCGACGCAGAACGCCGTTTTAACCCTGACGTCCCGCTTTTATTTTCCTCTGTCGCTCTCTAGCAGGGTCGAGGAAGGAGGAGGCTCTACGAGGCGTTGATACTCGTTAGCTTGTTTCACAAAGTGGGGAAAGTCCTGCATTAACAATATACACATACGTGATAGAAATGTTGAGCTGTGACTTGTTTTAACACCGGAGAAAAAACTTGATTATTGACAAGCCTCTGAGAAGAGCTCACCACACTTCAGTTTGTCCACCTTCAAAATAAAAGCACCACATGTCATACTGTTTGCAAAGGGGAGCTGAAATTATCCTAGCAGAGAAGTAAATATTTATGGGATGCAGAGCGGACAGCGATCGTGCACAATGCAACATGATATCTAACGCTTGCGTGTTGATAGGAGACGGTGTTATTGTGAGAATATTTTATCCTTCATCAAATCAAAACTGATGAGTCATCAAAACATTCACCCCCCCCGTACAGTGTGTGTCCATCCAGACATGAGCTAATCACACCTATTTGTTTTTTTGAACCAGGCTGTAAACATGTTCATCTCTGCTGTAAAAACAGGCTTTTTAGAATGGGTGTGTATGTGACTTCCTGTGCTTCTGCAGCCAGCCTCTAGTGGACACTCCAGGAACTGCAGGATTGTGCACCTTCAAAATAAAAGCACCACATGTCATAGTATTTGTAAAGGGGAGCTGAAGTTATCCTAGCAGAGAAGTAAATATTTATGGGTTCAGGGTGGACAGCGATCGTACACAATGCAACATGATATCTAACGTTTGACGTTATAAATCAAGATGAAACTAATAAATAACTTTAAATATCGGACTCAAAACTCTGCGGAACTGACACAGGACAAGTCGAATATTACCAGGAACGTAACACCAGAGTTTGGTTTAATATAAATCACACAAAAAATACTTTAATACGAGTTTATCAGCGGAGCATGACTCATCAGTAACTTACCTCTGACCGTGCTGAAGACTGCTGTGGCGGGAGCACGCACACACACACACACATACACACACACGCACGCATTCACGCGCACGTGCATGCGCACACACACACACACACACACACACACACACACACACACAAACTCCGGTCGATAAAAAAAAACGCAAAACATATAAAATGAAAAATTTGTGTTTTGGTGAAATTCATAAGCTGTCTATATCAACCTGTTACATATAGCCTACACCCCCCCCCCCCCCCCCCCCCCACACCCCATATATCTCATCATGAATGAAGAAAAGGAAAAAGTAGGCGCTATACCGTACAAGTCATAAAATATACAAAGTGCAGCAAATATTTAAACAATAGTGCAGTAAGAGCACGCTGTGTCATTCATTTGTAGAGCGTGGTTATAAGAGCCGACATTTTCAGTACAAACACATAAAACACATTCATTACACTATTACCACTTCTTCTACGCAGATGACACTCAGCTTTATCTACCGGTCAAACCAAACAATCTTGCAGAACTCACCACTCTTACACAATGCCTTGAAGACATAAAACACTGGATGGCCCATAACTTCCTACAATTAAATGAGTCAAAAACCGAAGCTGTTCTTTTTGGCCCCCCCGACATCATCAAACAGGTCTCCAACAGCTTAGGTCGCTTATACAGCCACATTAGGCCTCACGCCAGGAACCTTGGCTTTATCTTTGACTCAGGCTTTACATTTGATCGGCAGGTAAATTCAGTTGTCAAATCCAGTTTCTTTCAGCTCCATACAATTTCCAAGTTAAAACCTATCCTCTCATTCAGTGACTTATAGACAGTAACCCATGCGCTCATTTCATCCCGGCTTGACTACTGCAATTCTTTATATACCGGGATAAGCCAGTCGTCCCTGTCCCGTCTGCAGCTGGTCGAAAATGCTGCAGCAAGGCTGCTGACTGGAACCAAGAAGAGGGAGCATATCAGTCCTGTCCTAGCGTCCCTTCATTGGCTCCCAGTAAGATTCAGAATCGATTTTAAGATTGTGATGTTTGTTTTTAAAGCCCTGAATGGCCTGGCCCCCCTTTATATTACCGACCACCTCAGGCCGTACACCTCTTCTAAGCGCCTGAGATCATCAGACATGGGCCTCCTGGCTGTTCCCCGCTCACGGCTCAAGCTAAAGAGAGAGCGGGCCTTTTCAGTAAAAGCCCCTAAACTGTGGAACAGCCTCCCTCATTCAATCAGGTCTGCACCCTCTGTTGACTCTTTTAAGTCCCGTCTCAAGACATACTTTTATATTTTAGCATTTGAGTCCCCTGGTCCTGAACAGACCATCTCTTTCAGGTTCCTTTGTTGCTTTCTTTATTTTGTTGCTTTCTTTATATATTCTTTCTTTTTATTTATATATATGTATACATATATATATTTCTCTCTTGTGGACATTGTGATCTGAAGTTGTTTTTCTTTTTTAATGTATTGTAAAGCACTTTGGTCAGCTGTAGCTGTTTTTAAATGTGCTTTTTAAATAAATATGACTTGACTTGACTATTTTATGCAGATTGAAAAATAAAATAATAAATATGAATGTAAGGAGGAAATCGAGGAGAGGGATTATACATTTGGGTTCTGATACACAACTTCACTTTGAAGGAGGTGTAAAGAGGCCCCAGACTTTCCATAAATCACTCAGCTTATCTTTAAAGTTCCCATATTATACACATCACACTTCACCATGTTTCTCTAAAACTAATATATAAGTCAGTAAGTAAGTAAAAGTTTATTTATATAGCACCTTTCAAGAGCAGACATCACAAAGTGCTTCACAATAAAACAAAAACAGAGTACAAACAGTCACATAAAATCAAATACAGACAGATCAAACAAAGGCAAGTCTGAACAGATAGGTCTTTAGCTGCTTTTTAAAAGTGCCACAGAGGTCAATATGTTTCTGTAGTCTGTCTCCAAACCCCCCAATGATGACATCAGTCCATCCTTTCAATCTTTTGCCTGCTCTACTTTTCAGTAAATGTGTGCTCAAACAGTCCATTAATGCATGGTCACTTAAAGTTTCTGGATTTGAAGCATTAAAGAAAGACATGTTGGTTGTAACATGACACACATGCACCCACCTTCAGCCCAGGAGAGATTTCCTCTGCAAGGCTGGCCAGCCAAGAGCCCTTCCACAGTTGCGCTGTTAAACCACCAGGCGGCGACAAACTAACATAAATGTGACAGCCACATCAATTTAGCAGAAATTCAACATAGAGGTTAATTCTAACTCTGTTACACTGCTTGAAAAGTGCAGTTAAGGTTTAACGAAGAACAGGAGACAGTACTGTTCCTGTTGGTCTTCCCCCTGGGCAGCCTGAACCTCCGACCAGACGGGAGAAGAACAAAGTCCTCCAAGAGAGGACGACGGTCAGAGCTGGCCAAGATCGACTTTGCTCTCCTCACAATTTGTCTGTTTCAGATATCTGACAATGAAAGCCTCTGAGTGCTGATTATTGTACTTGCTGTTTTAATGATACTGGACAGAAGGTTTGTGTTGTGCACTGAAAGGTTATTACCATGACATGAAAACAAAAGGTTAAAAATGGAACCAATAAAAGATTGGTAGAATAAAACCATCAGGGTCTTGCCCACATTCAAAGTATTCAGTCTATGCAGAAAGTAGAGTCTCCGCAGTTCCTCTTTGCAGATTGCATTTGTGTTGTGGTCATGATTCAAGTTCTTTTCAATCCCTGTGCCCAGGTACTTCTACAAGTCAACATTCTCCACAGGTGTGCCTTTGATTAGAGTTGGGAAAGGTTGAATGGGAGGTTTTCCGTAAGTGGATGGGCATCTCTTTAGTTTTGTTGACGTTGAGCTTCAAGAAGTCCCACCACTCCACAAAATCTTTTACAAATGGCCCGTGATCGACCTCTCCTCCTGGAGCAGACTAATTAAAACAGTGTCGTCTGCAAACTGGGAGAAGCCTGTTGTCAAGGTGCTCCTGCAGTCATTTGTATACAAAATATACAGTGAAGGGGACAGGACACACACCTGGGGTTGGCCTGTGGATGACAACCACTTCACTGATAGAGCACCAGTCGCCCTGACTGCCTGGGGCCTGTAAGTTAAGAAGTCCAAGATCCATTTCACCAACCCAGCATCAAGGTTACAAGTGGACAGCAGTTTATTTTCTAAAATGTGGGGTTGGATGGCATTAAAAGCGGAGGAGAAATCTACTAATAAAAGCCTTGAATGTGTTGAGTATAGGCCCAAGATGCAGACTCAGGTCTCTGGAATGTCTGGGTTACATTATTTATTTTTACCGGTTATATAAGTCCTCATTATCCAGTTGTATTGAATCAATTTCAGTCTAGTATTTATGTACTGTTCCAGTATGTATGCACTACGTTAGTGTGACACAGCCATAGAGTTCTATACAATCCGACCAATAGAGTTGCCCCCTGCTGGACATTAGAAATAATGCAGGTTTATGAATGCATGTTTGTAGGGGTTACATCTTCCTCTAAATGTCCCAAATCTCCTCCATGCAGAGCAACATGGACTCAGATCTTCAGGAGAAAATCAGGAAACTGTGGACCCAAAAACTGAAGCTACAAACTAAAACAAAGAAAAACAACATCTTCTTTGTTATGAATGAAAATCACCTTCATCAGTCTTCAATGTTCAGACTCGTCACACCAGAGATATTTAATCTGTGTATAACAGACCCTGTTACAGGCCTGATGACGTGGTGACGTATCGTTAGCTTGCTGTTAGTTAAAGGGGAAATGTGCAGATGTTTAACCAGCTGTGTATCACTACAGTAGAGATATTATATGTAAATGAACAATGTGTCACTCCCTCAGTGTTAACTGTGAGGAAAGCTTCCTGCTCATGTACGGGCCGATTCAAACTACAACCTGTACTTCTGCATTTTTTCTGTGCTTGCTCACAGAGAGGCGCCCTGAGAGAGGGGCGGAGCCAGAATCAAGACATCCCATCTGAGATCAGC